CGCAGTCTCGAAACGTATATGCATATTGTATTTGTATTGTATATTTGACAGCCTTGGTTAAAAATGTGTACCCCAAGTAAAACTTGCTTTAAAAAGTGTTGAAATACCTTGAAAATTGCAAATGTGGCAGTATCTTTATTTAATCGACAATTACAACATTTACAATTACAAAACAGTATTTGATGCTCAGGGGAAACCAATGCACTTGGATTGTACTAGATGAATGACTAGCCACAAAGCGTTACAGTAGGTTCTAATAAAAATAAAATTATTGATTATTGCCTTGTGTCTTGTAACACTTTTGGCTATGTTGGTTCGTAGTTTATCTACAAAAGAATTGCTTGGGAACAACATGTTATGAAATTAAATATGGAAGTAGGTTTCTGTGAAACACACCAATCATTCCAAGTATATACCTTATCGTTTGATATGTCTCAAAATAATTGTTTTATAAAGTTATTTACGTTGTGGATGTTAGAAATTTAAACAGTCGGTCACTAACACTGTAAATGTGTAAAATGGGCAAATGATGATTGTATCGCCCACTTAATTGTATCTATCCCTTAATTTCAGTTCATATAATGCAGAGTACATAATATTTCACAGATTTTCATGTTTAGATAATTTACCCAGTGTTGTGGTTATAAGTAAATAAGTAATCATTTTTGCATTATGTAAAAACAAATGTAGCCATGTAACCACATTAATGCATTGTAGTAAAATTATATGAATTAGTGTTACCCTCAAGGAAGTTGAACAAAGATTAACTATTTTACCATTCATTTATTGGGGATGTTTTTTAATTTCATTTGTATATTCCAACTTGTAGGCCAAGACGGGAGTGATGCTGACATTTCTGTGTCCATTACAAATATTTCTATGAAGACATTTGGTTGGAAGTTCTTCAGTGTTGATACTGTACATGCTAGGGCTGTAATTGACCAAGTCAATGGGATAACAACTGTGGCAGCGATCACGATATAATTCTCAACATTTCTCGACACATTGATTACTGTACTCGATTCATTATGTAATTAAAGGAAAGACGTACTGTATTAAAATTTACTATAATTAGTTGAACTGTGCTTAATGAAAAGATGGGAAATCAATTGACAGTTGAGTGTCAATTTTCAGACTGACGATAAAATAACAATCGATGATTTGAATGCAAAATTACATTGCTGAAATGAATGTATCTTGAGAACACGGCTAGATTTAAGTCATTTAGTCATATACGCTAATGAAAATTTATGAAGTAAGTGAGAACATATGATTATAATTCGCTTTGGCATTACTTGTATGTGAAGAAAAAATTCTGTATTTTTGGTAGTAGTCAAATGTCAGTTGCGGAGTGCTAACTTGTGTGTCATTCAACGAATTTGCTTTTTTTTTCAAATAACTAGTTATAATACAGTACATGTACATGACACAGAATACTAAACAATTTGGCCTTCATTGGTGTATACAAAACAAAATAAAATGATAGGTTTATGAAATATACCAGAGAGGTATAACTACCACTAGATTAACCACAGTAAGAACGCATTAGGTTTTATCTGAAATCTGATTAACTCCAATTCGATATAAAATGTGTTACGTTTTGTTCAGCTAGATATATTTACGCTACAGGCGGCAGTAGGTAAATAGGGATTAGGTCGTAATACCCAGTTAGCAACACGCGGGGATTACTAGGAGCGCAACTATATCCGCAAATATGTCCGTTGTGATACGCGTTCAAGCCGAGTAAATTACTACGACAAAGTTAACAAGAGGCTACTGTGAGTAATCATATTGAAAGGTACATTGCGACGTGTAAACATTCGGTTGAACAATAATTTATCATTTTGACAATACGTGTGGATAAGAGCTAATGGTAAATAGAACATGAAATGATATATTTTGCAAAGTGACGGGGTACGCCCCCTCCCATTTATAGGGCACGTACATCCATTGGAAAACAAATTGAGGTATCAATAGGCGATTAATATTCTGAATTATTACATTATGGTAATGTGTATTTTAACTAATTTAAATGGTGCTATTTGCTGGTAATTGGTTTCACATCTCAATTTATTTATTATCTTTCCATATTCACGACCTTGAAATGTCAACTATTACAGTGTTCACTGATTAATAGTGTTTAACTAACACTTTCTTCTACATGCCGACCTAACTTCAGTGCTGTCGACATTCTGTCAGATACACTATAAAATCACTCTCGTGTCTATGCCAAAGAATTTTTTTAGTTTAGTTGACAACTTTGTTCTATGGGGCAAGGACGTGTGGTAGAAGAACCTTTTGAAATGAACGTGACGAAATTTTTGCAAAAGAAGTATAAGCTTATATTAGCTTTCACTATTCCGCTCACACTGAGTCCGATTCTAGTTTTCTTTAACGATTCAGAGGTAAGAAATTAATGATGATAGTATACAAAAAAATTATTTGGCATTGCATATTTAGTGACATAATTTCCTTCGTTTTGTGACTGTACAAATACGCTTGTTCATATCTATGATGGAAATTAAGCCTCTCAAGCCCAGCAATGCAACGTCAAAACAATCTCAAGCGATGTATGACTATCACTGTCTGAACATCGACATGGACTTGCATGCTCAAGTTAATGAGTTGAAGAGGTTTGTGAGTCAAGCTTGAGTAGTTACATTTCAACCACAGAGAGTACAGTAATTATATTGCACGAACAATATGCTAGTGTTACGGGGTGGATTCACAATAAGTCAAAGTTCTTATCTTTATTTGTAATCTCACTGTTAATAAGCCCAATTCGCACCTGTCCACTAACTATGATTCACAGGAGACACTTTTCATGTTTATCAATGCAAACGGAATATGTGCGAGTTTATTATGATTTCATTACATATCGTAGAATCAAAACATACCGTGTATAGTTCGGGTGGCTTATAATAAAATGTGTGAAAGGGAGAGGTATCGATAAACAAAATAAACGACTGTTAATTATAGTATATTATCTTCAGATGGTTGAACATTTCCAGTAAATATTGATGGGATTTATTCCTACCGAAAACTGTAGTAGATCAGGCTACCAAGACCAGATTTATCATTTTTCTACAAACTTTCCACACGCATTACCAAGCAAAATTGATTCTGTTGGATGTTATGCAAAGACACGCACAAAAAGTATAAAGTTTAATAAGCTTTAGAAGCGTAAAGTGTCTAGTCAAAGTGAGTTGAAAATTTGAGTAACTAGGTATCAGTCAGGTTGAAATGATCCGGAGTGATACTGAGCATCGTCGGCGATTGTTCAATCTTCGTGACGTATCGTGTCACTGAAATCTAACCTAAATTGATTATGCATAACATAATTAAATTCCAAATACTTTTACACAGATAAGTAAGAATACAAACCATGAATCATTATAATTCTAGTATAATTAGTTTTCTTAATATGCTAAGTGGGATGTGTAGGGAATGTTTTTTAAGATATGTTTTAAAATAGCAATATGAATACATATACGTTATTATGTCCATGTCAACGCACAGGATTGTTAATCACTGTGCTTTGCAGCACAAACAGTTGATAACCATAGGACATCAAGTTAATGCAGCGGTCTGTGAAACAGTTCAAAATGCATATGACCACAACATTATTACAATTAAAATTAAATAAAAAATATAAAAACCGTCTGACATCAATATAATGTGCGCTTACAGTTTTTGTAAATGTTTTTTTTTTTTTTTGAATGAACATTTAAAATGTACTTAATTACCAAATTTTCATTTTTTAAGCCAGCGAAATGTACGTATGTGTTGCTGTTAATGGCCTTCTACTGGGTGTTTCTTCCGATCCCGGTCTGCATAACGGGACTCATCCCCCTGGTGATGTTTCCGGTTATGGGTATCGTGTCTATGGAGGACGTTTGTAAGACTTTTATGACAGAGAGCGTCATTTTACTCATTTCGGCTATCATAGTCTCATCAGCTGTTGAGCGTTACAACTTGCATCGTCGGCTTGCGCTACGTACGCTACTGTTTGCAGGATCTGAACCAAAGCGGTAAGTTAAATGATCAAGAAAAATGCTAACCGCCGATCTTCTATTATTAAATTATTACATGTATACCAGCGCATAACTACTTTAATATATACCGTAAGTAGATTTAAAAATTTAAATTTGAAAATTATATATCATTGATATGTAGAAATATTTCAAATTAAATTACATTATTGAGCTACTTTATGATATACCCGAGTCTTTATTATTGAATATTAAAATGTTGCTTTGTCATGATAATCAGTCTGTCATTCACATGCCATATATTAATATTTACTTATTTGAATAATAGCCCATGTGACGGTTGATAGGAACATACGACCCTGATTTTGTACATCAATTTTTTTCACGTCACCATGGTTACACGGTGAACGCGATCAAGGAAAACACATTGTGAAAAGGACATAATTTCTTAGACTCTCTTGCTCTCAAAGTAATCTCAGCGGCATTTACATCGAAAGTCTTTTGTATGTTCAGAAAGCCTCTGCCTATTGGTCATATAAAAACTATTCTGTAGTGTGTGGGATTTGTACCTTCGTGTGATCTATTTCATATAGACACATGCGTTTAGCGCATTAAACAGTTGTCTAGTGGTAGAATAGTGGGCACATCGGCGTGTGTCTTATTGGACTGTTGTTTTTCTCATTCGTTTTATTTTATGGGTCAAACACACATAATCACACGCAATCTGATTAAAATCTGTTGTATTGTACGGCGTGTATTTTATTTTATATAATTCTTTTACTTTTATTTTTTTTTAAATTATTTTGTATTTTATATTTTTTATGTTTTTTGTTACGTACTTGTGATTCGGTATAATGTTAGCATACCTCTGAATCAATGCCAATGTAAGGAGATTTCAACGATAGCTCCTCTGACTGGTTTGGTCAACGAATCACATACCTCCTTCTTTAGCGCAGCCGATGACGTCAGTTCATGATCAGAATCAGGTCACAAACACACTTAAATAAAATGGCGGATTATACCGCCGTTAGCGATGAACACGATCGGGAAAAACACGGCTTTTCGGTAAGTAAATCATTGCCATATGCAACAAAAGTCATGATCTATAATGTTTATGTTAATATTGTTGCTTAAATGGTTTCAGTTTAGGTCTTGTATAATTATTCCGGGAGTGGCGATTTTTTTTCCACCGGTTCTAACGAACACTGGTATATTTATTTATTTGTTTACCCCAAGAGACAGGTTATGTTTTGTTGACTAATGTGAATATTCATTAATGTACCAACATTTTGTACAATAGCTCCTTGTTTAAGTAATTGAGATTATTTGGACTAGATCAAAGAAGTCTTTATTAGGAACACATCGCAATTGAGCAGGAAATATTTTTTGCTCTAATATTCTGCGTGTGAGTCGGTGGCCGTTATACAATTTAAAATCAGTTTGCGTCGTTTACTATAGCGCTTTACAGTCTTCTAATCATAATGATTTATTTATTCCATTCTAGATAAACTTGCCCAGTGCTTGGTGTAAAGTTGAAGCGATGACTGAATAAACGAGCCTTGGCTCGGGAAGTGTACACATTAGTTGGAAATGAACAAACTATTCAATTTAATAACAAAAAAAGTGTAAATTGCTGCGGAATCCCTTTTGTAAATAAAATATGCCATACAGGAAGATTGACTGGTGATAGTGGTGTGGGAACAGTTTAATGACGATAATCCAAATTCTCATGGACAATCAAAGGGCAAACACAATTTGTGAGAAAATATATCAGATATTGCCAAAATGCGAAAAGTGTGTGCTTCTTACACTTTTAACAATTTGAGGTGTGAGTGACAGTAATAACACTGAAGTCAATCTAAATATTACTGAAATTTTAAATTTGCAGCTGTATTTTTGGACCAATCATAGTAGCCACCTCCAACATCCCCCCAACAATAATTTATGCTAGACAGGGCTTCGCGATCGGCAGTCAACCGCACATTTAGATCGCTGGAGCAATGACTATCTAGATGTTTTGTGTAACTTACAAAAATATGGTAAATAACATGTCAGTAAAAGGAAAAATAAAATAAATTGTCCGCCGTTGTACACAACAGAACATGATTTCTAGCTTTCAAAGGCAAATGAAAAATATACCTATCTAACCACCTTTTCCTTGCATTTTCCCTGGTCAACTTTTGATTGAGATGGTTGTCTTCAAAATTAAACCCATGCGACGCAAAACGATCTTTTTTCTTGTACATTGGAATTGTTTGTTAATTATTTTTGTCAAGTGGGTATGCCGTCGGCCAATATAAAAGGCTAGCTGTGATTGGCTGTAGCGTATACGAGATTAGAACGAGATTGATATAGGTATTGAGTCAGATCCTTGTTTGGCTGGCTGGCATTCGCAATTTTAATCAGATTGGAGCACAAGGTAATTATTTGTTTTTACCAGCCACAGGACAAGCATACTTTGCCCACATTCCTATGTGCTCGACAGTTAAAAGTGCAGTCTGATTTACAATGGTTTACTTGACATATTGTCGGTTTTACTAAACCTCTTGAGACAATAGAACGTTGACTGAATGCACCATTGACCCAAGTGTTAGAAAACACGTTTACTCACATGTCAAATGTATGGTTTATAAAACAAACAAAAAAAAAAAAAAAAAAAACAACTCACGTATACACTCACAATGGCCAGACCTAATTGTATTTGTCCTCTGACTTTTCATGTTTGTATTCAAGGTTATTATTGTCTCTGATGATTACCGCAGCGTTCTTGTCAATGTGGATTATGAATATGGCTGTTTATGCAATGCTATTTCCAATAGTACAAGTGTTGGTAGAGGAGCTCGAAAACAAACTCGCCCGGACCACAGTAACAAAACGGTAAGGGTAAAGGTCATACAAATGTGTCAGGTTATTAATATACTTACACTGCAAGCAAGACTGTTTTCAATATATTAAGAGAACGTTGGCGGCGCCGTTGACTAGAACAAATGTATGTTTGACTACTCACTCTATATGATAAACAACTAAACACTGTAGTAATCATGAAGGCCATTGCAATGAAACAATATTTTTGAAATCGTGATATCTTGCCATTGTTGTTTGTAAAGATTTACAGTACTACATGATCTACAATAGCGAATAAATGAAATATGAATATTGTAAGTTATTTATGGTTTTAATTCGCTCATTCTTCGTTGGTTTGCCTCCTTATTTTAAATATCCGAAAGATTGTAATAAGCAAATAATTAAAAAATAAAACTGGTAAATAACTTCCTATATTTTTTTATATCAAAATCAAATGTTACCAATGTTTCATATTTAGAGTCGATCATTTTGAGGAATGGGTTTCTTTTAAAATGCCTACAATTAATACACCATAACAAATCATTACTTTATTTCATTGTCGTTTATCTATGATTAAATTACTTGAAGCGATTTATTATAATGTCTCATAAAAGTGTGAAAAATCACACGTGATATCCACGAAAAGGCATACACCCATTGGCGAAAACTTGTTACCTCAATTATGATATCACTGGATAGCATGTTGCATGATAACAAATATAATTACTAAATCCAATGTGTTATACACTCTCAATATTTAGGGTATGGTGAACAGTGCTTATGAGCAAGAGCTTCATAAAAATGGAAAAGTAACTCGTGACGAGAATGCACTCGAAATGTCTGCCGTGATTGAGGAAAATTGGTAAGACTTTCCTTGCTGTCAAATGATAAATTTATCAGCCAATCAAGCGAGTAAGAGAAGATAATGAACTTGTTATTTCCAAATGGTTATTTTCATTTTCCTTCAGTACTGGTATGGACGAACAGCAGCAGAAAACCTCACACCCTGGTGACGTAACAAGAAATGATACAAAAGGGCCTTCGCGCTTGATGATGTGTTTTAATTTGGGATTGGTTCAAGCACTGATAATTGGCGGAGTCGGGACATTAGTTGGAACGTTTTTGCCATTGGTATTGGTTCAAAACCTGGAGACGTGAGTGAGCTCTATGTTCACCTTAGTTTTATTTGATTTAACTTTACTTGATTTGATAACAGATATGTCAATGACAAACACGTAATGACGGATAAACATGATCAATTGATTTTGTAGAAAAAATGATAGTCACACACGCGTTTTAGATGGTACGCTGTGACCGATTGCGCTATTACGTACTCACAGAACAGCCGACGATTGCGTTACAGAATTGTTTGATTTCAATATTGAAATCCGTTGTTATTGGCAATGGACCTGATCATTTGATGCCGATTTCAGTATTAAATATAGTTTTCGCTTATTTTTAAATATTTCTTTCTTTATGCGTTTTTGAAAGAAACATTTTATACATATCCTTGGTAAAGGACATTGATGCTCAATAATAAGATACATTATCACGAACAATCTGCTGCAATGACGTAGTGAAATCTATTGGTAATGATAATGCTATCATATAATTACTGATACATTCAAACGTCCTTATAGATATTATGGCCCAAGTGCGAAGCCGAATTTTGGGGAGTGGATGGTATATGCAATACCAACGCAGATAGTATGCTTGGCGCTTGCGTGGACCTGGTTGTCAACTTTTTTTTTGGATTTAGGGTGAGTATTAACTAGTAATTAGTGAACTTCGATGTGTGGAGTCCGGTCAAACTATGGTGTTTTTATTGTTAGTGAAATGTTTTCATATTTGAAATTCCCATTTCCTTATATGGTAGGATAAAATTACACTGTAAAATAACGCAAAATTACGGCACGCTATATCCTATGTCGTTACTGTGATAGATGTATAATAATAATTTTTATTTTGTATTATTTTCTTAGCTCAAATGTGACATAGAACTAATAAATTGTAAAATTAAATAATCCATACAATCACGAAATCGTTTTCTTACTTTCTAGACAATCAATATTACTTTGTTTCTCTGGTCGAAGTAACTGTCTTAAAAAGAAGCAGACGGTAGAAGGTGATATTGTGGCTGTATTACGCAAACAATATGACGAACTGGGCGCTATTAAGTACACACATTTATTATAAATCTCGTTTCTCAACACATTTATTTGTTATATATCAATAGTGATACAATCTATCCCATAACGTTTGTCAGGTGTGGCTGCTCTATACTAACAGGAACAATTGACAAAATTTAACAAAATCTTTTCCGCCCTCAATTGTATTAGAATTTGTAGGACCCCTTCACTGCGTATTACATCCAATCAAATACATACATCACTTGACTGTCCTTGCAAATATAAAGCTAACGTTGCTTTCTTTTCTATATCACGTGAGACTGTAACCTTAGAATGTGCTATTAACTTTACAAGGAATGATGAAACTGCACGTACATATGACTTATACTGAACCAATCAATATGAATAATAGAATCGCTAAATTATGCATTAATCATTGTATGAATGCACGGTTGCCATAAAGCTGCATGCGTTACCTGATTTACACGTTGTATGTTAATATAGTAGTCACACGTTTCTACGATATGTACTGTATAACAATTGCGTTGCATGTGCATTTCGATTGTGTTTAATGCTAGGGCGTCTCAACATGGACGAAGGAGGATTATTATAACGCATTCGAACTTTAATTATATATCTTTGCAGGTGGTCAGAAGTAGTGGTTATCTTCATTTTTGTTGTGCTGATAGTTATGTGGCTTTTTGAGGACCCCCAGTTTGTGACGGGTTGGAGATCATGGTTCAAACCAGGGTGAGATAAATATGTAAAGAATAATTCTGTGAAAGTGGAATAAATAATTTAGCTCTATAACGGAAAATGAAAGCCGTTTGATTATTCCTCTAACAAAAATTAAAGCCGTTCAATATTTCTGAAAAAAAAACAACAACATAAAACCAAAAACAAAAGAACAAGTCACTGTGTATTTTATCTCAAGTAAATGGATGCCAATACCCGGCGACCAAAGGCCTGACGTATCTAAGATATACGGATTTACTAATTAATTCAGAATTCCCACATTTTCCCACAATCGGATGACCGACAATGTTTGAGGTTTCTTCTTGCTTTTTCATTGAGATTTGCTAGTATATATTCATCATCACCATCATCATCGTTTACATCAAAAATGATAAAACAACTACCGGGAAGATATCATAATTAAATGTTTTAGGATTTGTTTAGGGCAATCTTAAATGAAAGGCTATGTTTATGTGCAGATTATAATGGCGTGATATCCGATTGTCAGTCGGGTTTTCGAAAATAATCAGTACTATAGATAATATTTTTGTTTTGTATGCTATTGCAGGGAAGTAATTGGCAAAAAGTAGTGGTAAACTTTATTGCTTCTTCATGGATTTTTCTAAAGCATTCGACAGGATAAACCATTCACTATTATTATATAAATTATTAACAATTGGTATCTATGGTAACATGTTTTGTATCTTGCGTTCTATGTATAGAAATGTTAAGTCCTGTGTCAATTCTGAATCAAACATTTCAAGTTCTTTTGAATGTCCCTATTTGATTTAGTTTTTTTATTGACAAATTAAATTTGATGTTGTTTAACTCAAGAAATTTGTGGAATCAACAAACACGGGACTTTTATAATCTGTTCCCTTTACTTTATGCAGATGATGTAGCCATTTTTAGTGACTCAATTCCAAACCTGCAGAATTTGATCAATATTTTATCGTAAATTAGTAGCAAGTAGTGTATGAAAGTTAATTTTAAAAAAAAACACACAAAAAGATGCGAGTTTAAAGTTGTTTTCTATTATAAGTATTTAGGTCTCGTGTTTTCTTCCAGGAACATTTGATCAAAAGCAGTTTCTACTTTAGCGGATCAGTCTGGGAAAACGCGCAGGATTCTTTCATCAGTATCTGTTAAACTTAATGGGGTTCATTTTGACACCCATTTCAAATTATTTTATTCAATTATATCTCCTATTCCTTGTTAAGGGTCTGAAATTTGGGGATTTCAATACTACGACCGAATTGACAAAGTACATAGAAAATGGTGCTGGATGCTACTTAGGCTCCCTCAAGATATTGCCAAAAAAACTAGTCGGAGAAAGTGGGCGACTGCCAAATTTTATTTCCATGCTTAAACGTTGTATTTTGTTTTGGCGTAGACTCTTAGAACTCCTCCTACGAGAATTCCCATGCATGCAAATTCAATTTTGTGTAATCTCAATGACCTAGGAAACAATTGTTAACATATTAATTAGTTATACTAGAGAATGGTATCATATTCTACTTGTACCTGTTAAATTTTAAGCATTGTTTTGAAATATTTGTATATGTGCCAGTGGTCTAGAATATCATCATCATCAAACAAATCACAATCACAATTAAAAAAGAGTAAATCATCCTTAGTTTAAGTCCAGCACACACGCATATGTCATAAATATAATATTAATGCCACAAAACTAGGTGATACGTTCTAGTTCCATTTTTTGTTTTATCTAGGTTTGTAAAAAGCAGTACTTTCACTGTTGCTGTTACTATTCTATGTTTTATCATCCCAAACAAAAGACCATCGCTGCCGCGTTGCACTCGTAAGTAGACACAGTATATATACTATATAGAAAGGCATATTTTTTTACTATTGACGAAATATAATTAAATATAAAGGGGTCTAGTTACGGTATTTAATCTTGATATTTGATAATGTTTTACTAGGATTGTCAATATAACAATATTCATTATTAGCGATAACTTTAAAAGCAATAACTTCCTTAACTTTATGTTGAAGATGATATTGAAAAATTTGAACCGCTGCTAGACTGGCAATATGTAGTAAGTCGAGTACCCTGGGATATTGTATTTTTCGCTGGAGGAGGAGTCTCGCTTACAGTAGGCATCAAGGTAAATTTGTTGTATAATCACCGAATCAATTAGAATGTAAATTATGTTATTCATAATTTATTCTGTGTCTTATTTTAGACCAGAAGAAGCTTTGAACATCTACGTCTTTCGATTGGAGATGACATTTTTTACATCTTCAAATTTATAAATTGTGAGGAGGACGTTACTACGATGTTTGAATCAATGAATCACTGGGATATATACCCATATGTTCTTATGAATGTTGTTGACAGCTACAGAACAGTGCGTGACACAAAATCAGTAACAACGGTACTGCACGATCCCGTGTGTTTTAGCGTTGAACTCCAAGCATACATCTGCATTCAGTTTTGTGGATAATGTGGTTCGAACAATTGTTAGATGGTAATTACTTTCGAACTTTCTCGCAAGTGACTTACGGTTGCCCGTGATGAATGTAACCATGGACTTACTCTCTGACTACAAATCCTTATTTAGTGTAGGATATGATGTCATCGGGTGTATAGCATTACGCAAGATTGAATGTGGATTTATTTATAAAACTGTTTATACATTTTGTTGATATTTGTATAGATCACTAATGTAACGTTGTGTTTTGTGTCAACAGTAAATGACATTCATATTTTCATAACACTTCTCAGGAATCTGGTCTTGACCTGTTGGTAGCTGATAAGTTAGATTTTTTGAACTCATGGGACCCATGGATAGTGTTGCTGATCACTACCGCTATAGGTGCCCTGCTGACCGAATTTTTAAGTGGTCCAGTGTACGTGGGCCTTATTCTACCTATTGTCTACGTAACGGTAAAAACTATTTTATTCTGAACGTAAAGTTAATGTGAGTTTTGCATTACACATATACTAATTGTGATGAGTGATCCGTTATATGTATAAGTTAATTTCATAATTGTATATTGCAGGCACATATGAAAGGAATTCATCCATACTATTTTGCCATACCAATAACCCAGGCATCCAATCTGTCATTCTGCTTACCAGCAGCACATCCCTTGAACGCAATGCTGGTGTCGTTCAAAGTCGTCACAGTTCCCACCATGGTATGTATTTATTTTTCTTGAAAATCAGTGATATTTATGTCCATCTCTACATCTTCAGATGGAATGTTAATGTATGTTTGATAAACAGTCTCGGCTTTAAAAAGTGCTGAAATTACCTTAAAAAGTGCAAAAATGGCAATATCTTTTTTATAATTGACTGTTATAACTGTTCACAAACAATTATAGTGGGGACCGCTATATTAGGATGCACCGATTATACAAATTGGTCATAGAGCAATGCTTTAATTTTTGTAAATTGTTCACTCGTTGATTCGTTGTTTATGTACAAAAGGCGTCCGTGATTTTTGCTTTCTCTTGACATTATTTGTCAATCATGCTGTTAGCTACGTAATCAAGTATTCAACACTTCGGGCGATTGGTTATGAAACAATAATGTAATGAAATATGTAATCTTGAATCTGTTTTTGTGTATGAAACATACCAATGACATAGTGTAATCATTTAAAATTTAACAGATTCAATCTCCTATGTCTATTTAAATTTGAAACTCCTTACAAACTGAAAAAGCTAAGATAATTTACCATTTTAGAACATAAGCAATCATGTGTAGCTTCGCGTTATGATTCGTCTTATACAACTATTGAAAAATGTTATGCACGAGGTGGATGCCAGACATTTAAACAGTCTGTCATCAACACTGTATATGTGTAAAATAAACAAATAATGTTTGTATCATCCAACGCTCACGAGCACAGTTCATATATTGCAAAGTACTTAATATTTTCATTTTATGGAATTTCATATTTAGATAAATAACACAGTGTTTAGGTTACAAGTCAAGGAGTAGTTATACACGCATTAAGTATAATAAAACAAATGTAGCAATACTGTCGTTGTAGTAATATGATATGAATTTATTTACCGTCAAGCAAGTAGAACATAGATTGATCTGTTTACCATTCATATATTCATGATTTATTTTTCGAGAGCTTATGATATGATTTCAATACAGATATTAATATATTAAAATTTACTTTTATATTTCAACTTGTAGGCAAAAGTCGGAGTGATGCTGAACTTTCTATGTCTCATTATTACAAATATATCTATGAACACATTTGGTTGGAAGTTCTTCGATATTGATACTGTACCTGCTTGGGCTGTAATAGACCTCGTCAATGCGACAACAACTGTGGCATCGGTCACGGTGTGACTCGGCTCACTGTAATCGGTTCATTCCGTAATTAAAAGAAAGGCGTTTGCTCTAGAAAAATATGCTACTGTTGCGATTCGTGTTATATTAAAAATATGGGTTTTAATATTAATTTCCGAGTTCTATCCTTTAAAATTAAATTATGTAGCAATGTAAACAGTTTTTGGTGATCACAGTAATAAGTTCTACAATTGTTTTCAAACAAATTAATCTTGAAAAACAGATAAACAGATGGCAAACTAAAATAATGTTAAACAAACGACATGAACTGTGATTTATATTCTCGTTTCAAGTGTTTTAATTTTTAACTCCAATAACTGATATTGAATCTTTGTTATGTGTTTGCTTAGACAGTAATTAGGGCAAGCGATGACATGGAAATTTCATTGTCAGTTGATTAATTTTGTTACCCATGGTTTTGGAATGATAACGTTTGTTAAACTTGAATTGTTCTTCCCTCCATACACTGCATATGTTTGTGATAAATATTAGTAGAAGCGTTCTAAATTTCAGCAGTGAACTCAGGGTACAGTTATGTTCTTTACGTAATTCTAGCCAAAAAATCATCCCAATATACTTGAGAAATATATTTAGCCCACCTTATAATAATATATCCATAATTATAATGAAATTTGTTATTGTTAGTTAAATTATGCATAATTAAAGGAGGGAAATGAATTTGAGTTGATCGTAAATTTGTAATATTGCGTTAAAAATGGCCTCAACCTGTTCAGCGTTGCTTTACTGAAATGTATGTTATCTTGTGAATTCGACTCAGGTGTAAATGACATTTAATGTATTGCAGCTAATATTTTTGAACGATGTATCGTATTTGAATAGTTATACACGTCAGAGGATTTATATACGGGTCGATAGCAGTATTGAAAACAAGGTCACATGTCCTTGGTAGAGTATGTATTACTTTGAGTCAGCACTTTCATACAGACATGTTGATATTTTATCGTTATCAGTTTACTTCAAACACACCATTTCCGGCTGGGGGGAAATCACAAATTGTCACTAACAATAGTGTAACATGTCCGTTGTTTCTGTTTAGTGGGATTTTATTTATGAAATGTTAACAATACGATTATTTAGGGACTATGTGGGAACGCTTTAATAAACTTCTGATCATCATCCCCTACTTCGACAATATCTCAGTTGTCTCTTGAGGACGTTGCGCATTTAATCAGTTAACATATATCTGCTAAATGACTGATTTTCAATGTCGTTTTCCCGATCTGTATCATGTAGACTCTAGTAAAAGATGTGACTGTAATTTATGTAATTCAATCTGAAGTTTTGATCTGTGAATTAAAGTTTTAGTTCTGCAAATTTCAAATCATTTCTTGTTAATCTGAATTGTTGTCCCATAACTTGGTCTGTCACGAGAAATTAACCAAGTATAAATGAAATAGCCTGTATGATGCCGATATATCGAGCCCCTTAACTGTCGCATTGATGTATTTCTTTATTCATTGGTAACCGACAGCAAGGATAATCAGAGTAATATAATATTTTTCTTTAAATTTACTTTGGCCTGCTTTTGAAATGCATACAAACTGTAACACATATTTCATTGGTGTTTTTTAGCTCTTGTGTGATCGGTCAATGCAAGGACAGCTCTTCAAATTCTGTGTTTTACACCCTTTCAATGTGTGCCTTGTTTTACTCCGGGGTTACGTTCAAAGGACTGTAGGAGAGTTATGCTGAGCACTAGAAAACTTTCAATCATCATTTTTAAACACAACAAATTAAGATGTTTCGATTACAATGACAGGTTTTCTATGCAGATCATTGAACACCAGGATCGAACGCCGAAAACGTACACAATGCACTGTGGTGCCGGGTGAAGGTGTAATGGGAAGTTTGTTTCAGTTCGGCGGATTATTTATAAAGTTTAAAATGACACAAATTGGCCTTTGAAAAAATGAATTTATCACCAACAAATAAATGAATATAAATGTTGTTACAATTTCGAATTACTTTTTATAATATTCATAATGAACTTCATCTGTATTTGGAATACCAAATTCAATAAAAATATAAAATGAATAAATAGAACAGCATTGAGGTATACAAATGATATGTGAGATGCAGACACAGTCACTTTATTAAAATCGGTGCGTCACACCTTCTCCCACAGGCAACATCAAGTAGCGAACGTCACTCTCATTATGGAGATCTGTGTTGAAATGTAATCTATTGTTGTAGTGATGTACGTGTTACAAACCTGCAGGCGAGATTCGGTTGAAAATATATTTATCTCAGGGTGGGGACCGCTGGAATACAGTTGACTTCCGATTTCATGTGAGTATGCACACATATCAATGATGTTTAAATTCAAATATATATTCACCATTAGTAGATAACAAAAGCAAACACAGCAAACATCGTATAAGTTAATCACAATAGTTAGAAACCGCTTAACTCCCATTGACCAGTCCCTGACTATACCAAACACAATACATAAACATAACAGTTACACACACAGTATGGTCTGTATTAAAAAAATTGTCAGCTCTCAACATCAAAGGTATAAATATAACACTTAAATGTGTTTTACAGTACAGCAATATGGTAATTACACAAGAGTCACTGTGGCATTAGCGCATTATATGCCCAAGACTATATAGTCAACATACAGCAACATAGTTCTCCGCTAAATACTAAACTGAATGTTCTGTCACTATGCAGTTCGCTGTCTATTCATACATCTGCATTTAAAGTAGCAGATGGTTCACTGCAATGAAACTTTTGTGTTGGCACCAAATAAAAATTTGAGCATAGCTTCCGCTGTATTGGTTACAGTTCATACACAATACATACAGACAACGGCATGTCCGTTCAACAAATCAGGTTCACTACAATAATTCAATGTCACAATCGGCACAGATGGCATAAATAAAATACAGCTACAATATTCGTACACGAATCGATGTGAGAAGGGAGTCGCCAGTTTACTCAGACACAAATAGTACTCACAGTTGATTCTGTCGTTGATCAGTGGTGTAAAGTTCAACTTCCGCTTATGCCATGAGCGTCGCCATCTTGTTTCACTATTTACATCTCATGATTCGCGTGAGCGAGATCTGCATTCACGTTAGTGTACATTTCCATGTATGATTTTAGAAATCGACTCCAGATAATGATAATTCTGATCTCTGACTTCTCCACTGTTGAAAAACGTCACTCCTGCTGCGATTCGAGCTAGTCTATTCCCACTCACTTTCTTTTTGATTGTCATGCGGTCTTGGATCTTCCTCCTTCACTCCCTAAGCTAGTAAAAAACTTTTACACGATCACAAACTCTACTTAATTACACCAATGACACAAAGTAGGTCAACACGTTGTCAACAACAATGAACAACTCATGCAAAATAGAAACTGAACAAATATTTCTATGCACAAATTTAGCAAAAGTACAGCATTTCACCATAAAGCAAAGTGGACCACCTAGCTTACTATATTGGAATTCTGTTTCAAAGAACCAACTCATGTATCAATAAGGTATAACCGTCTAAGAACAATTGCCAACATGTGATTTCCAAATTGCATCATACTTACAAATAAACCTTGCATGTCGCAATGTGTTTCGTTTCTGTCAAGGGTGGAGCCAACCACATAAAATGGGATTTCTTCTAACTAACATGGCAAATAGTCAAATCCAAAACACCAAACACTAGAGATTTTCTTCTGAGTTACCTCACACAAGTGGTCAGGACCCTATTGTGACAAGGACTCCTTGTACCTCCTAGAATCATTGTACATTGCACACTAAGGGACAAGGCTAACTTTCCCCAAATCTCCCAGACTACTTTTAAATTACCCCTACGCATCACACTGCATACCAGCGTCCACAAGCTTAGACGACACAGGTCTGTGCTGGAAAACTCGTCTCTCCATTAAACAATCAGTCACTATCTAATAACATGCGTGTATGTCGAATCATTGTATGTGCATCATATCATACCATAAACCATAAGAAAACTGATCACAACATTTCTGCACCAGTACCAGTCTCAAAGAATGACACAGCACCAACACCTCCCCGACAGTACTCCGCACCACCCAACATTGGGTTCAGCCTCACTTACAATGGGGCAAATGTATTGTCTTCCAGGACAATCAGCTTCTTCATTAGCACTACCCAACTCTCACTCACACAACGCAGGATTACTTATATTGCACAAGATTGTGGGATTATCTGCTTCTCCATCACTGTTAACCTGTTTCACACACATTGCATCTAGTATCTAAATAATACATAATGAGGCACAATTGTAGCTACCTAGAGCTCCCTCAAACCAATGTCTTTTTGGTAAGATGAAGGTGCTCAGTGACTGGCAATTTAACGTGGACAGTGGCGTCACCATCAACCCTGAGACATGGGCATCCAATCTTAGAACCCATGCATGCCTAACCACTACCACTGACACCCCTACATCTTTCTTTCACAACACTTCGCCATAATATCCATTATCATCTCCATCAGTGGCTTGTTGCTTACTGGTTGATGCTTCTTCATGGAATGCATCTGACTGCTGCATCCCTGGTTCCACCCATATCTCTGAGGCACTCTCCTTATTGTTTTTGATCTCTGCACAGCCAGTGGAGGTGTCTCCTCCCTCGTACTGAACGATTCATCTGCGCCGCTTTCTGTGGGATCATATTTCACAAATTCTTCTGAGCTTCTTGCCTATTGTGGTTACATTGGCATCACAATGGCCTCTGTCTCAATCTTGGGAAACATTGCGTTTCTGGCTTGGATTGTATCTTGAATTTTGGGGCATATGGACGTGGATTAAAGAAACTAGCCCTTGAGTCAAGGCCCACTTGTTCAATGGCTTCGCTATCGATGAGTATCCAGGCACATACCTCCAATAATAGAAGGTATAACCTAGGAATGTTCTCAGCTCGTGAACATTTGATGGCACAGGCTTGGTCCTCAATGCGCCGGTCTGGCTTGGATCAGTCCTAACTCTGTTTTCTGACACCACATAATCTAGGAAGTTAACCTTGCACGAAAAAAATGGCACTTTGTGTGCTTGATCTTCTAGTTGTACTCAT